GCAACCCGCTACCTGAAGGAAAATTGGGAAAAACCTGCGATTTAAATCGGTCCGGTCGGACAAGAGATTTCGTTGTTGCAGAAGTCGGTGGCGTAAATCGAAAGGAAGCTCGTCCCACCTGAGCGGCGACCTTTTGTTCGGGCAGGTAGAAATCGATGGAACGAAGAAACCGCAAGTGAAAAGCGGATCGCGTCTTCTTCGAGAAGTTCGTAGAGTTCAATAAGTTCGAGCCGAAGGTGAGCTTGTGTTCAGCCAATGTTAGCTTCGAAGATTGTTGCGACGACGGCGGAACGTTTAGCACGTTAAGTGCCGAAAATCAACCCCGAGAATTCTCAGAAAATCTGAGTAATTTAATTAATTCGATTGAAACCAGAAAGTTCGAATTTATTTCATTTATTTTTCATTTACTTGATATATTTATTCGTTATAATTATTCGTAGATCAACTAGATCTGTAAAGTACATCTAATGAAACGCCAAATATTCGAAGTTTGTTGGAATTTTTTACTTCGACGTTTTTACTTAGCGTCGTCCATATGTAATCGGCGACAGTCAACGTATTAAACATGGACGAGTTGCGAAGTATCCTTGAAGATAATTCGCTGATTTCTGAGAGCCTTCAGGCGGTCTACGTTGTTTTAGATACCTGTTCGTAGTAGATAGGGGAGAATTAGCATTCTGCAAGCCTGAAACAACGTTAAGCAATCGCTGTTCGCAAACGTGTACAAATTTTAGAAATTCGCGAGTCATTTCTTTTGCAGGTTCTAAATATATATATAATATAAAGATAAACGATTTTTTTAGATCATGCATAGTTTATATAGTTAATATATCAATATTATATATATATATATATATATATATATATATATATATATATATATATATATATATATATAGTTAATATATTATATATAATATAATATTAATAATATAATATATATATAATATATATAATAATAATATTAATATATATATAGTTAATACATCAATATTTTAACATATTTATGCGCGTATGATTGGAAGTAGCGGCGATAGTTTCTCGCGAGACACGGCGTATGTGAACACGAGTGCATTTGGCGCGTCAAAGTCAAGGATCGCAGTGGCAGGACGTTAAGATCTCAAAATTTCATTGTGCATAGTCCGGCTACGAAACGGCTTGTTTGAACTTCTAAGATTCAATTATTATTTACACGAACCATAAAAACAATGTAGCACGAATAATTAGGATTTCCCGTCGACACCTGGCGACTCACTCTTCCCCAATTAACAACCGATTTCCGCGTAACAAGCGGTACAATTAATCGTCGGTCGGATAATTGATCCTGTATCGGTTCAACGAGAAATATTTATTCGACCATAGTTATCACCGGGTACATCGGTTTCCCCGTAAGTCGGAATTAAATTTCCAGATTCATTAGCCGCCATGGCGCGTCTCGTGACGCACGAGACGGCTCTCTTTTCCCGGCGTTCCTCCCTTCGGTCTCCTCGCTAGCTCACACTCACCCTCTCTCTCTCTCTCTCTCTCTCTCTCTCTCTCATTCTCTCTTTTTCTTTCTCTTTCTCTTTCTAGACACCGCTCGAAAATGGCCACACGCAGCCGGCATAGCATCTTCTGGTATAAATACATATGAGAACTGGGTCGCTGCCCTGAACCACAGCCGCTGCGTCGTCTACAAGCTTTCCTCCTTGTTCCCCGGAAGTCTTACCTTTGACCTGTCGCGGTTTCCGCTGGTAATTAGTCGGACACGTTCCGAACGTGTCCGCGGACCGGTCCGGACCTTTTGCAAGCTCGCCGCCAGTTTTCCGTTATGATAACAACCGATATTTAGCGGACCGTCACCGCTCATTAGCGAATGTCCGTCTGATTGTAGATGGGGGTTGCAAAAGTAGCGGACGATTATCTCCTTAGACGAACGCTCGCGGCGAAAACTCCAAAAAGAATTGTCTATACATATACGTATCAACGTTATTTCCGTGAAATTGAAATCGATTCTATTGTTCTGTTACGAAGGATTAATGAAGTTAATGAATAAAATTATTGCTTATTAGAGCCTCACGCGTGTACAGTATACACCATTCGTGAGAAATAATCGCTAATAATTCAGTAGTTAAAACGAGATCAATATAAAATGAATGAATTGATTAATTAATTCTCAAGAATTAAGAATAGAAGAATTATAAAGTAAAAAACTGTTAAGTTTCACGAATATAACGATTATAAAATGTATGCATTTTTATATTATTAAGAATTTAAGAATTATAGAATGAATAAATGTTAATTTTCAAGAGTTAATAATGCAAGAATGTATACATTCTAATCCTCAAGAATGAAATAAACGATAAAATGTATACATTTTAATTCACAAATATGCAGTTAATATAAAATGAATCAATTTCAATTCCTAAGATAAGAATAAATATTAAATCTCACTAATCGACGTAAATAGTTAATCAATTCCTAAGAAATGGTTAATAAGTGCTTAATAAAATCTTCTTCCGTGTTTAACGTAATCTCCTATAATTTCATAAAATCTGTGATCTATGGTCGAAGATGACCGACGGACGATTATTTATCCGACGTTTTATTTCCCGATTCTCAGAACCGATTCGATCGCATTCGAACAATGGCTGCCGAAATTTGGAGGATCGTCGGTATCAGAGCAAATTAAAGGAAATCGCCTCTAGTTGGCTCGCGTGACGACGGGATTCGATAATAATAATAATGGAGGGGGATGATTTCGGCTCCGGCCACCGCAGCAGGATTTCCATGGATCTGCAGTCGCGGTTTTACGGCTGCGAATCCCGGGGCCGTGTGTCTGCAATATGACAATAACATCTGTGGCCCATGCCGAGGTACGCGCGTACCTGTGCCGGAGGAGGACCATCTTGCAAGCCCGACTGTACGAAACGAAATCGAAAGGTGTTCCTCGTGGAGGACGCGCGGCGACCATCGATGCAGCTGGCAAAATATTTCTACGGAAGGAAAACGTCTCGTTCGCAAATTGCGGCTGCGACACGTACACTTGCGCAAACTAATTGTCGCGCGCGGCTTTTCACCGTGGAAATTCGTCGAATTTCTCGCGAGACTTTGACCCTCCGCGGACGTTCCGGAATTTTTTAATCATTTTCAACGTTAGACGATATAGTACGTACTAGGGTCTCAAATGGTAGACGAGGCTGAAAAATGTATACTTTTGTTATTTAAATAGTGGAATTATTTTTTGGGAATTTTTTGAAGGTTCTCTGAATAGTTGAAATAATTTAATTATTTCTAGAGACGTGAATAAAGTGGAAACTATCCAATAGATTGTATCTTTGCAACCTTTTTTAATTTCGAATTACAGATTACGCTTATATTGAATTAATTTTTGTAACATTTAGAGCTGAATTATAGTCCTTAAAAGATTTTCGAATCGTTGAATTGATTTAATGTATATACGAAGAGATCTGAATAAAGTGAAAACTTCCAACAGATTGCATCATGCGGTTTTTTTGCATTCCCAAAAGCAGTTTATGCGTACGCATTGAACTGCTTGTCTGTAATTTTTTAAGCTAGATTATAGTCCTCGAAGAGTTCTCCAATTGTTGAATTAGTTTAATATTTTAAGGGATACGAATAAAATGAAAGCATCTAATAGATTGCATCTTGCGTCCTTGTGGCATTCCTAATTGTATTTTACGCACATAACGAAACAGTGTGTTCCAATATTTTCGTTGCATGCACTCTTTATTTAAGAATATTCTCGCTGTATGCATTTGATAAACAGCATTTTAGAAACACAACGATAATTTGACCCGAGGGTACACAAGATTCTATTGATTTTTTCATTCATCGATGTGTATAATTGTATGTTTTATGAAATTGTTTGAATTTGAGCTGCAACAGCTGTTTTCCGCTAAATAGAATTTTCCCTGTGTGCTGTACGATCGGCATATGGACTCTCTTATATGTTTCGTTAGAGCATAACTGGACAAGAGGTGCGAAATTTTGATGCTTTTGTTCAATTTCAAAGAAAACACTTTGTTTGGAGAGGTGAGAAAGGATTCAATGATTCATGTAATTAACACAGTCGTAAATTCATTGTGTTAATGTGTTTCAGAAATATTTAACGCTGAACTGGTACGATGATTTCCTAAAAAGTAAATGGCACGTTGGAGTCACGTTAGACCTAAAGTAAATGATGCAAAAAGGATGCGTTAATCTAATTCTAAATGAACATTTGGTTGCAATTTATTCTTGCTAGTGTATACAATAATGAAAAAGGGGGATTTAACCTCGCGATATCATTAAATCTTAAAAATATTAACGTATCTACGTCATTTTCGTATAAAAATATTTTATCTGCATAATTAGAAACGATGCAGCGAATGTTGAAATAAACAAATCGTTTAGTATCCATGTATCGCTTAATTAAACAATTTTCCTGTTAAGGACATTAATTACTGCAAGAATAATCGAAAACATGTTTATTTAACTGCACTTTTTACATAACACTATAAACTCCCCTAATCCCATTTTTACCGACAAGCCGAATTACACGAGTTACCCCGTAGCAGATGTCGCCCTTGTACACTCCCCGAGCGAACACGTGTCGGTAAGATAGAGTAGCATAATCGGTGCTCGCAAATTAAAACTCAAGCATCAACTTCCGACAGAGCGAATTACCAACTCAATCAACCGCGAATCTCGGACATTTCAAATGCAACACAAACTTTTCCAATACGTTTCTCCTGAAAGTATCTTATCGATCACACTAAGAGAAAACCTCCGTAAAAATCATAATAACGTTCCTCAAAGAGTTGCATAATAACTGCGGCTACATACCAATGGTCGGTCAGAAAATAAATCGATATAAACACCGTGAAAATCGCTGGTTAATTAGCGATTGGAAAATGTAAACACAAACTAATCGCAGCAATTAGTGTTCGAACGACACGCGATATCTCTGGAAAATTACTTTAGAAATACGATGCAATACCGCATCGTTACATTCACTATTGTGTTCCCACCTTCTTCCTTAACCAGCGAGCCCACTAAATGGTCCCATCAATCTCTAACAATTCCGCAGGCCCTGCGATATTTTCTGAACCCTAAAACCAGTCCTGTAGCCAAGACATCCATTAAATAAAGCAGTTCTAAACGAACGTTGAAACACAATGCGCTCGGACGGCAATTTGCTCTGCTAACTGCTCTGTGACCAGAATACGGACTGAATGACATCGTAAGTATTGCAATCGTTGTGAAAACTGATTGAAACGGCCAGCAGCGGACGATTAAACGCGTCGCGGCCGGTTAACAGGTTAATCTCTCGACGAAGAGTAAAACGAGAGGTTCGCCGGCCGATCGGTTCGAAAGCTCGGTAAAAGAAAAAAAAAAAAACAAAGCACCTAACCCGGCAATAACGATCGTTTTGCGCAGATTAGAGCACTGCGGCAGAGAAAATCGGGGATCGATGAGACGGGCAAAAGAAATAGCTTTGAAAATTATTGAAAAGGACCGCGGCAGGTGCGGACGGCGGGGAATACGGGTCGGCGGCGGGTAGGACCGGGCATTAAACGTCGTCGGGACGGTTCCGGAGCGGACGTCTCGGCGATAATCCGTCGACATAACCTCAAAAAAGGAACGGGTTCGTACCGCGGCGGCCTTGTGAGAACGGTATCCGGATATCGCCGCGGCGAGGAAGAAACGGGAGGCCGGGTCTCGAAGGTTCTCGCTCGCGGACGACGCAATGCCACGAAAAAAGTCAACGAAACTTGCGCAGGAGCTGGCAGCAAAGTCAAGAGCCCTCGCAGTTGACACATGTCAAGCGTGCAGTGCGACTCGAAAAAACGTCGGGGCGGCCGACAACACACAATCACGAATACGGATGTGAAATCGACACTCACCGCAGCGCCCGGCGTTGCTCGACGACTGGCCCATTATTCTCACGCCGACGGCGATGGCAGGCACGAGATAAAGCACTCGGTGATCGCGGCGTGCTCACGTGAAAAACCGGACGCATGAGTGCGCGAAAGACCGACACATTTTTCGAAAAATACTATCACATCGTGTACCCGCAGTGTCGCTACGACAGAGACGGACGGCCGCTTCGGAGCGACGAGGTGATTGGCCCGCGAGACGGTGCGCATGCGCGACCCGCGGGATTTTGAATCGCCTCGCGTTATCAAGCGAGACGCGGACAAGTTTCACCAGCTGTCGGTCCTCGCCGAGGCCTTCCGTCGTCTGCCACCGGATTAACAAAGGTAACCCGATCGTTGTCGTCGCCCAGCCTGATCAGCATGCTGCCAATTAGCATTACCCGCTAGCAATCTTCATTTTTCCCTATCCTTTGCCGATGACGCAATATTACGTCTTTTCGTTGTTTCTTGTTATTTGCCGATTGTTTGCTTCGTAAACGATAGAACCACTACGCTGGTCAAAAGGACCGGTTTCACAGTTGTAATTTGAACACTGCATTCACTGCACTCGTCAAAATGGCCGGCTTTACAATTTTTATTTTAACGCTTTTACGGGGCCGGTGAAAATAACCGATCTTACATTTTCTATTTTACCAAGTAAATTCAATTTTGCCATCCTTTTAAATTACAAAGCGATAGATGTTAGTGATTTTTACTACTTAGTAGGCTTAGTGTTACAATTGTCGGCATTGGAAAGATTCTTTAGTACGAAATAAAATCGCTAAGAGCAGAATAAATTCAGTGCTACCATCGTTACGGAGAAGCATGCGTTAATTACTTTTAGAGTTAAATAGATTTAGCGTCGAAGCAGTGTACATATTCTGAATTATCGAAAGTTCCTTTTCTTCTGAAAATGCAGTACGATTCTTCTTCGAATAAAAGAATCGACTGTTACCTCGATTTACATAAATTTCCTTATGTATAAAATCGATTCGTAAGAATTAATATAACAAGAGCAACAAAAGCGGCTTAAATATCAATCCGTTGTGAATAAATAACGAACTTTCGTGCAAAATAAAAATTGCATTGATTACAGAATGCAGGCGGTACGTTGACGTTTATTTTTGTTTTTAATCTTTTGAATGAGTTGCATTTCAACATAATTGACTATGCAGATAAGAAAATAGTAAAATTAACTTCTTCCATTCTTCTTTCATTAAAATTACACGCTGGTACTGGTATAAATTACACAATTGCATGTTGTTCCATAATACCAACCAGCGTGTCAATATACAGGGTTCCCCGGAAAGAATCATCCGATTTCCAAAATTTATATTTTAAAAAATTACACACAGAAAATTATAATTCAAACACGAATATAACGGGAAAATGTGTGAGTTTTTGTTTACAAGTGTTCAATATGACTTCCTTTCGTTACACGTATGATATCATTGCGATATGAAAGTTCTTGCCAAACACGGTGTAACGTATCTCTGGTAATTGTTTGTACAGCATCGCAAATTCGTTTTTTCAGTTCATTTACACTTGTAGGTAAAGGTGTTACAAAGACAAGATCCTTCACAAATCCCCAAAGGAAGAAGTCGCATGGGGTTAGGTCGGGTGATCTCGGAGGCCAACTGTGTAGAACCATATTATCGGATGAACTGCGACCAATCCAACGGTTTGGTACATGAGAAAAAAATAATAAAAAGTA